TCCAGCAAGTGGCTGAGTGGGGTAAGTGGTGGTGACATGGCCAGGGAGTGATTTCAGCAAATGAGTTTTCAGATGCATCACCTCCTCCGCGTGCTTGCTCACCTCAGTTACCTGCAGGGTCCAGCCAGTGATGCTGTAAAACACCTGCAGTGGCTGCAGCACAGGAGCCCACAAGCTCAGTGTGGGAATTTCCAAGCAACTGCTGGGATCTCCACCCCAAGCCCAAGCTACCTGCCCTAGTACATCTCAGCTGAGCTGGAACAGGCAACAGTCAAAGTCTGACTGAAATACCAAACCTGTCTTAGGCAATCCCAAACTATAAGATGCAGGAGGAGTTCTCTCCCCACATGAGAAATGAAAAGAGATGAGCAAGTTATGGGAGTAAACAGTTGTCCTTCATTGCAGTTGTGTGATCTGCTAGGTATGGGAACTGCAGTTCTGCTGTGTCTCTCCTCTCTTGGAGGAAAATCCTTCCATCACTCACTGATCTGCATTTATCATGAAGAAAAGAGAAATTCTGAGCCACAAAAATGTATAACAATATGTTTGAGCTCTCTGAAAAATCAAGATCTTTATGGAAAATAAAGCTTCTGGGACAAAATCTCTTTTCTGTGTTTAGGTCAGTGCAGCCTTGTGTTAATATTAAGATGTTTGATGCTGTGAAGGACGTAACACCCAAATTCATTCACTAGCAGTGCTTCTTTTTCTCTTTCCTCACCCATGATCTGTCTCTCAGTTGCCAACATAAATAATACTCATGTTACAGTAATGTCCTGTGGCTCCAAACTGGGGGAACTTCACTGCATAAGGTGCTGAGCAAACATGTATGGAGGCACAATCCTGTCAAATGTTATCCAGGTCATACAATCTGTATCTATATTCCTCCCTGTAGAGAACACGCTCAGCTCGGGAAATGCTTGGCCTGCTTCTGTATGTGACACTGAATGTCAGTGAGTGACATCTCACAGATGATACTTTATTGGTAGAGCAGGTGCTGGTGGCAAGAACTATATTTATACAGCAGAGGTCTAAAAATGGCTCTGTGCTTAACAGGTCTCAGTCACTTCCAGATCAGATCTGAGTCTTTCGTAAGACCTTTCTCCCCTTCCTTCACTGCTCGCAAACTTTCACCAGAATGAGAAAGCCAAGGGGTGCTTCCCAGTATCTGTATCTCCTGTTTTCTGCTCCCCAGCAGAAAATACAAGATACAGAATCCATATCCTTTACAGGAAAGGAGGTGTGCCTGTCAGAGGAGTTTCCAGATCCATACATCACAGGGCAATCTTTTTCAAAGGATGGAAGGCAAACCCTGTAACATCAGCACTTCAGCAGCTTCTGGCTGTCACAGCCCCAGATTTCCAGTAGTCAAAAGCACATGAACACATCATCATGAACCAAGCAATACTGTGCATTTTTGGCATGTCACCCCTCTGTGATAACACTGCCTACACAGACCCAGTCCAGAGGAAAATGTGAGATAACCTCTGTTGGAGCGGCAGGAATAAGCACATGTGTGCAGTGCTTTCTGGAGGATAACTGGACTACCCTGGGGTCACTTCTCTGTTTGCCCTTGTCCTGCTACATTTTCTCTCATAAACACCCTAAACTGTCAAAACATTATGCACTCCAGGCAAAAGGCACACTTTGGGGAGCCAGAGGGTAATTTGGATCTCTTCAAATGATGTCCAGCCACCAGCGCACCATCTGCAATGTTTGGGATTTGATGATTGACCTTAAAACTGCACTTTTATATGAAGGTCTTTCCAGCTGTAAGAATCCAACACCCTGTGCAGAGGTTAAGTATGGATTTACACAGAGAACATCCTCGACAAGGCAGAGAAGAGGTTAAGGCTCTTTAGTCTGTGCCCAAGATGTAAGTTTGATTTTGTTTTCCTGGAGGTAGGCTTCATATGATACACCTGTGGATATGTGCTGGGTGCAAGAAAAGGTGATGAGATACTGGTCTACTGGCCAAAAAAAATGCTACTTTTTGCTCAAGTTAAATTGAAAAGTATTGCCAGACCTCAGCTTGTAATATGCTATTTAATTACACTTACCACATGCTGCCTAGAGTAATCCTAGTCTGAGTGTGGTCCATGGTAAATACAAGGGACCAAACTTTAAACTTACATCAGGAAACCCATTTGGTCATTCCTCAGAAACTAAAAAACAGGATTTTTTAAAAAATATTTTAAGAAACTATATTGTGGCTGCAGGACCTGTCAGCATCAACAAAGTCATTCACTGTTGTGGGCAACATATAAAACCTCTGTATTTCACTTTGTTTCCATTTTCCACCTCCACTTGCAGCTGAGGCATGTGAATGGTCAGAACAGTCTCACTGAAATCAGGAGGACAACTCGTGAACTTAGAGGGAGGCACATGGTGGAGGGCTTTACCAAATCACCCTCCAACACCAGATGCTGGAAGGCACAGCGTTGGTAGCTGCTGGCAGCTGACCTGAGGAAGTTAAGCTTGGCAGTGAATGGAGCCCTCCCAAGGCTCTGCAGCTCAGCTTCCTTTCCTCTCTTTGGCACAAAATATTTTAAAAGAAACTGAGACCAGCAGGTTTTCCCAAGCCAACAAAAACAAAAGCACTTGCAGCACGGTGAGGTGCAGCATGCCTGCCTGACTCCAGCCTGCTATGCCAGGGAATCAGAGGGATGGATGGCTGATGAACAGCAATTGAAAGGTAGGTACAGAGGCCACAGCACCGTGGCTGAGGTTCAAATCCAGACCAATGAGATATCCACAAGAACTACTGCAATTGTCAGCAGTGGAGAAATGCAATTTGTGGTTTGCAGCCTAGCTCCTTAAAATAAAACAAACAAACAAACAACAACAAAAAAAAGCAAATACCTCAACTGTGTTAGCTATCTGGCCAGGGAATGGCTGCCATGTAATGTTGATATAAACCCCACAGGTCAGGCAAGTTCCACTGGATGGGTTTGATCAAGGACTAGTGCATCTTTAGGAATGTGAGTCAACTGGAAACAGATGTTTTCATTCTGTGGTGCTGTAGAAGTAAAAGTCCCTCCCCTCTGTCCTTTTGCCATCTCTTCTAATCTTCAGATGTATTTCTAATACATTTTTTCATCTCATTTTATCCGTGTGTGTTAAAGCATTCCTGCTGTACACTCCTCAACTGGAGGGAAAAGAAAGAGAGAAAATGCCAGTAGATCAGTCCACAAATAGCCAAACCACTTACAAACCTACCATCAACAAATTCTTCTCAGAAAACTTCCTTTCTCAGTGGAAATCCCAACCTCACCCACTAAAGTCCTTCCCAAAAGCACTGCAATTGGCACAGTGTTCTGACTGTATTAAGAAATTTAGGTTATTCCACAACAAGAAAGAACGAAAAAAAACCCTGAGCCCTTTGGATAAAGTGACCTTCTTGGAGCTCTGTTGCTGTCAAGAAAGAGGAATCAAGAAAGGGGAACTCAGTTTAGACACTTTAGTGACACTCCACTGCAGCAGGCAAGTCTGTCGGAGAGTCCACACCTGAGACAAGGAAAATTCACCTGGAGTTATTTTCTTTTTTTACATTATTTAGGAGAAAGAGACACCCATTCCCCTTCCACTGCTGCAATTCTCTGTCAGGTTCCTCTCATGCAGAACCATCCAGACAAGCACCACCAACCAACCCTGCATCCTTCCTGCTCTGGTCCTCCTCCTGGATTGTGCGTCAAACTCTGTCCCAGGATGATTTCTGCTGACACACCAATTCTACCTGTAATAATTACCCCCAGTCATTCTACTATAATGCCATTTTTGCACTGAATTTCACACCATCACTGGTACAGACCCACCAGTACTACCAATCTGCTCACATCTGCTCACCCTCTGGTACTGAGGATGACAAGTCATTCCACCTTTCCTCATCCAAATTTCTCCTTACTGCTCACACTGTCATTGCCAAAATAAGGTAATTAAGTATCAGTTAGATCAGTTATGTGTTCTTGTTATAAGTTATGGCACTTCAAGAGCTGTTCCTGGGTAGGAAATAATAAAAAAGGGAAAAAAAAATTACTTCTTATTTGTATTTTGAAGGGAAATCTAGGAAATAGGAGAAGGTGTGCTTAGACCATATTCATCTTCATCTCAGGTGAGGTCTGAAGTGTGGGAAGGGATATGAAGCATCCCTCAAGAAAGAGAAAAAGCCTAGGCAGAATATCAGGCTTCATATGCAAATAATTGGAAAATGCTTGTCCTAGGGCCTGGCAGGGATCATAAAGAGTTTGTCACCACTCTGATGGCCACTAACTCTTACTGGGTTGAGTGAAACCATGTGTGGGACAATTTGTTAAAGAGCTCTTTTGTTAGAAAGAAGTATTTTTATGAAGGAGAGTAAGATGTGCCTCGTTCCCACAACTATCTGCACCCTTCTCCTCGTGTTGTCTGACAGCCCTGTACACACCGAAGTTACCCACAGCTCTGACTCGAGTCGGTGAGTCACCGGCTCCCTGGAAACTGGTGAGAAGAGACCTATGGGTGCTCAGGAAACTTTTGGAGAGTCTATATGAAGCTTCAAGGTTAAAAGAAAACCAGAAAGACAGCAAGTCATTTGTGATTTTGCAGCATAAGGGTCACATGTGAAATTTCCTGATCTCTGCTCTCTTCTGGAGTCCCTTCTTTATCTCCTTTATATAGGAAAATTAAAAATAAGTTTCCATTTCATTCCTTTTCTCATCAGAACTTGGCTGATGGACAAATAAATTAATTTACAAAATGCTGAAATGTTTCTTTCTCATTCATCCGAGGTTAAGTATGAAAATCTAACCTTCTTGTTCTCAGCTATCCAGGTCCCTCCTTTTCTCATGCAATAAATGAACAAAAAAATCCTACCTGTTACCTCTCTCCATTTCAAATTTCTCTTCAAGTTAGGAGAGGCAAATAATGACCTACTGCAAGAGTGGGTAATAAATTATAGCCAAAATGACAAAAGCAAAATATTTCTCCTCTAAATATGTTGTTTTTCACTTTGTGTGTCTTGGCAGTTTAACCCTCTGAAAACACCCACCTGAATTCTCTGCACTCAACAGAGGAGCCCAAGGATAAACCCTCCAGTAAATCCTATGTGACTGAAGATATAGGAGCCTGACTGTGAGTAGAAACATTTTAAATATGATTACTATACCTGTTAGTAACCAAAGAGCCCTTTTGGAGCAAATAATTTTCCTTGGAAACATCTGAATCTAATCATCTGAGCCTGGGAGCCCCCGTTCAGGTAATACCACTGCTCTCCTCTCTGCATTGTCTGTCCCCTGCCTCAAAAGAAAAGAGTTTGCCCTGTCCATCCATCATTTAAATGGTAATGAGCTAAATGAATTCCACCTCACTTCTGAGCTTCAGAGTAAGCTTGGGTTTATTTATTCATTTGAAGGCATGGGAACCGGTTTGACATTGCTGAAACATGTCCCAGATTTATGGAAAATAAAACTGTACTAATCTGGTGCGTTTATTAGCTTTTCTGTCGGATGCCTCCTTGAGTATTCAGAGATGTGAGTTTGCCCTGCAGTTCTGTTCTGACTGGAACAGCATCTCCTGAAATGTAAATGTTATCTTAAGGTCATATGCTGATGAAAACCCCTGTTTTGCCAAAGTCTAATTTCTTGGTCATTTGACAAAGCAGCTGCTGTGCAGTTACAGGGCACAAAGAAAGCTATGAAAGATGGATAAGTTACATGTTTGATTTGGCATATATTATACTGCTCATAAAGATAAAAATTACGAGGGATGATTATTTTTCCTGGTTTAGCTCAGTAAATAAAAGACCTCTCACGAATATATACACAGGAATGATACTTTTGAGTGAAATTGTTCAGCTTCACCTTATGCAGTCCTCTGAGCGCTTCTGTGAACGCGTTTTAAAGGGTCAACACAAATATCGTAATGTGTGATACAATTTATTTGCAGCATCATAGACTGGGATGGAGAAAAATTCCCGATTTGGAGGAGAATACAGAGATTAGACATTTGTAAATGTTATGTGACAATAAGCTCTGCAGCTGATGTACATTAAAGAAAATAAAAATTACAAGGTTTAGGTAACCAACAGCTGGTGTCAGCTGGTACGGTACCACATCAGTGCCTCCAAGGTCTGTGAAGATTATTTTTTACCATCTGGAGGCTATCTAGCATTGGTCAATGTCAGAAGTAAAATACTGAGGGCTTCTGCTGCTGCTTTGACAAACCAGGACAAATGCTCACTTGTGCAAGTGGGGAGCATGCGGTGTGGAGAAGGACAATATTGTGACATGTTTTAGGAGGTGGTGCTGTCATATCTGGTCATTCCAGGCTTTTTTTAGTGTGTGAGAAAGCGCTGACGGGGGAATCACAGTGCAGGGGTGTGAGTTTTGGGTCACACAGAGCTCCATGTCCAGGAGGAGCTGGAGCGTTCGAGTTGTAGCAGGGTTTGGTCTCCATGTTTGAGCTCTGAGGAGTCAGTTCTGGAAGAAGAGATGCGCCTGAGAGCTCAGTGTCTGGTGATGGATGGGGAGAAAAGTGTTGCCTGCACAGTGTTTGACCTTCATCTTGCAAGGATAAATGTCAAATATCCTCAGAAAAATATCAGCAGTGTTTTCTCTCACCAAAAATTCCTCTAATTCAGGAATAATTGGTACTTTGCAACAAAGAATTAAGAAACCCCTGGAGTTTTCTTTTCCTCCCTTCCTCCTCTTCTGTTTTCTTTTCCTCTCTTTTTAGTTATGAAGTTCAGAGAGGTTCCAAGTGACAAAGACAATTTAGCATTTCAGATAAGACTTTACTTATGCAGCACATCCAGCATTCATTTACACATTAACCCTGTCATACCCAAGGAGGTAGGAGAGTTGCCCCAGTGAGAAATAAGCATAAGTAATAAAGAAGAACTCATTTTCAGATAAGAAATGCACTCAGAAAGAATAACATTAATTCAATATTCAAAGAAAGATACATTCTTCTAAAAATTTGTCTAGTAGGCTGGCAGGGCATCTCCCTTTCCTGATTATTTACAACTTTGACAGATTACATCTCAAAATTTAATTTCCAGATCAAGATTTGGGATCAAAAAGCCTCTTGGATATATTTTAAAGACCAGGCCGAGCATCTTGTGTTTAGTGGTTGCATCATTCATTTCAGGGATGTGTGGTCCTCCCAGTCAGCTGCAGACAACGAAGGACTTCCCTGCTTTGGGACAAACAAGGGTTTTTTGCAAGGGATTGGGTGGGACTTTATCTTTTCTCAGGGAAGTTTTCCCTGTTTGCTTGTGACTGCCACTAGTCTTCTAAGAGACAACTCAGGAATAGCAACTCACCTTGCTGTGTGCCTCAGTTTCCTAACACAATATCATTCACCTTCCCTATAAAGGACTCTTTTTTTAATTCACAAATTAAAAATATTTATTTATAATGAAGAACAAATACAGGCTGGGTGGAGAATGGATTGAGAGCAGCCCTAGGGTGGGATATTGGTGGACAAGAAGCTCATCATCACCTGCTAAAGTGCAGTGACAGCCCAGAAACCCCCTGTGCCTAGGGCTGATCCCACAATGTGGGCAGCAGAGAAGGGGGGAGATTCTGCCCTCTCAGGTCAAATCCTCCTGCAGAGCTGCCTCCAGCCCTGGAGAACAACAGCACAGGGATGTGGAGCTGTTGTGACAAGCCCAGAAGTCCAGAGGTGGCCACAAACTGATCAGAGTGATGGAGCACCTCTCCCTCACAGCAAAGGGTTGATTTAAGGTCCTTCCAGCCCAAATCATTGTAGGATTCTGTGACAGCTTCTGCTCTCAGCCCACCCAGTTTACCTGCTGCAGTCTCCATGGGATGGGATGGTACTGCCTGCAGTTTTTTATCTCAGTACAGGCCTCTACCATGATAAGAACATACTGCACCTTTGTGTCTCTTACAAAATTTAATTCACATGCTGAGGTTTCCTGCTCTTGCAATTTTCTTCTTTGAATTAGCCAAGATACCTCTCTGTGACACATAATTCTTGTGAAAGTCCTAAAAATAAGTAACTAAATAAATAAATAAGCAGGCTGGAATTCATTACTGAAATCAAGTAACAGCCCAACAGAAAATTCAGCAATAAAACATCCATGTTGTAAAGCAACAATATTTGCAGTAAACCATGAGCTGAAAGAAGGCTTGATAAAATAGTTTCTTCCACTCATGAAATACCATAACTTGGCTGTCAAAAATACAGCAAACCACAAACTGAGTTAAAAGAGAATTGCTGCAAGGTAACTGCACAGCACCTTGTCCTTGCTTAAGGTAATCCCTCTTTGGACAGAGCACTTTCCTTCTCCAGAGCTTCAAGTATGGAAAGGAGAGATCACCAAAGGAGCCTGGTGATGAAGTAAGGCTTATGTACATCCTCTCTACCTACACAGGCTTGATATCACCCTCATGGTCCCCAAATATCCACTCAACATCCAGCTAATTTTAGGTGTAAAAAGTGAATTATGTGGCGCTCCTCATCATGGTTTTTATACATAATTCCTCTGCCCCTCCAGCATTTACACTCTGGATCTTTTTCCATTGCTATATAGAGCTCTGCTCTTTGCCATCCCCAGGATGTGGGGATTTTAAGGCCAAAGGATCATCTTGCCTAGATCACCTATGTCACAGGTTACTAAGTTTCACCCAACTGCTCCCAAGATTGATTCCAGTAATTGATGTCCAGTGAAAATTCTCTTCCAGAGAGGCATCCAACTTTGATTTCCAGGAAGGGTGAAACAGAGAACATGCTGCTTTCCTTAGCAGTTTGTTCTGGCTTGTGATCTTCCCCACTCCAAATCACACTGGTCCCCTTCTGTCTGATGAAAGAGCCCTTTTCCAAACGTGTTCTTCTCTTCATACAAATATTTCCCCAGTAGTCAAATTACCTCTCCATCTACTCCTTGTCCAAGTAGGCAGTATGAGTTTGAAAGGCCTCTTTTTCACATTCTCAGGAATTTACTGCTGTTCTTGTCTGGAGCTTTTCTGACATTTCTTTGGGTTTTAATCTTTCGGGGTTTTGTGGTTTTTTTTGGTTTTTTTGGGGTTTTTTTTTGTTTGTTTGTTTGTTTTTGTTTTTTTTTTTAATTTGCATTCTTAATAGAAAACAAATTGGGATGCATGCAGCATAACCATTTCACTCACCCTGATTTTTTGCAGAGATAAGTACCTATAAATTTAGATGCATCTTGGCTCTGCAGTCTAGTAGCCATAGGAGCATTTATTCTGCAGTACTGTGGCCTGTGCTTTCAAGTAGATTTAGTGGACTAAAGCCAGCAAAGAAAAAAACAGGTGGAGAGAAGTCAGAATTGGGATGTGTCAGAAACCTGGAATTAATCAGGGTCTTGCATAGGCATGCAAAGTGAAAAACCCAATGAGGTTGGTAGACTTGCTTGCCTTATCTAGATCTAAATTAATGTTCAGCTCTTAGTGGAAACCTGCTGCCCTGAACTCATGGTCAGACAGAGGTTCCTGCCTGCTCCAAGATCTTTGCTGAAAATTTGATCTCTGGACCACAGGTAAAACGTAGTTCCAAACAGGCTGGGCTTCTTTAGTATTACCTATAGCAGAGACTTTAATTCTTTGAGCACACTGTCATTTATTTAAGCAGTATCATTCATACCCACTCATTCAGGAATTCGTCATGTTGCATTTATATCAGGTTCCTTGTTCACTGACGGTGTCACTTAGTCAAGATTTTAATTAAAATACTTTCACATGTATTGCTGTGGAGGCATAGTTTCCATGGCTTGAGCTCCCTAGTTCTCTTTCCCCAGATTTTTGTCCAGGGCACAACAGGCTTTACACAACACAGCACTACTGCTGGTAGTGGGGGGCTGGAAGATACCCCTCCAACCAGGGTCAGCCACCTCTGCTGGGATCTGCCTTCTGACATCTCAGCATCATCTCTCTCCATTCACAGATCCCTATGTGCCCCCGAAAAATTAAGAATGCTGAGAGTCTCAGCATGGGGTGGAGCTCAGGCTGAGTTGCTCACCCATCACAGCCTGTCCTGTATAAGCATCCCTCACAATCCTTGCCTGCTGGAGTGTTGTCCCTCCCTTTCCTACACATGAAGCCTCATAACCGTGTGATGGGAACAAAATATGCATTCTGTGTTCCTGC